ACCGAATATCACTCCGGCGAAAGGTCACTCTCGGGCGTTGGCAGAACTGGGTTTAGTGGAACCCGGTTCAGTGATGTGTACTTGGGGACGCCCCCCCCCGCCCCGTTCCACTCACCGGAACTGCCGTCACCCGAAAAAACACCAGCTATGGCAGACCTGGTTTAGCGATTCTGGCCAATTTAGGGGCTCCAGGGCCCTGCGCTACTGACCGGGTCCCCTTACCTGGGGTCCTGGCTATACCCGACTTGAGGCCAGAGCTGGGTTGGCCTGTGGGCCCGCACCGAAAGTCACCCCGGCGAAAGGTCACCCGGCGGCGCGCACGGGGGGGCGGAGGGAGGGGGGAGGGCTTCTCAGAAGGAGGCTCCTTCTCAGAAGGCGCCGGCCTTACATCTATCGAGAAGGCCCGCGCCTTCTAAGAAGCAGGGGTGCTTCTAAGAAGCCCTCCCCCCTCCCACCACCCCCCTCAGGAACAGGGATCGGAGGAGGAGAACGAGGAGGAGGAGGAGGAGGAGGAGGAGGAGGAGGAGGAGGAGGGGAGGAGGAGGAGGGGGAGGAGGAGGAGGAGGAGGAGGAGGAGGAGGAGGAAGCGGAGGGGGAGGAGGAGGGGGGGGAGGGTCGGATCGCGAAGGGATGGGAGAGCCAACGCACCGCCCTACTCGAGTCCAAGCAGCTTGGGCGCTTTATGGGGGGGTCACAAATGGGGGGTCAGAAAAGGTCCCCTTTCGTGCCCCTTTCGGGCCCCTCCAGAGCCCCAGGGGGCTCGTTTAGGTACCGTTTGGGTACCTTTTCGGACCACCCGCGACACCCCCCATTTATGACCCCCCCATTTACGCACCGCCCAAGCAGCATGGCGGCGCCTGGCTCCGGCCGGCCCCGGCCGACGCCAGGGAATCGAGGCAGAGCGAATCGAAACGGCATCGCCCCGAATCGAGTCCAAGCAGCATGGCGACGCCTGGCTCCGACTGGCTCCTCCCCCTCCTCCTCCTCCTCCTCCTCCTCCTCCTTCTCCTTTCTCTCCCCTCCTCTCCTCCTCCTCCCTCCTCTCCTCCTCCTCCTCCTCCTCCTCCTCCTCCCCCCCCTCCTCCTCCCCCCCCCCCTCGTCCTCCTCCTCCTCCCCCCTCCTCCTCCTCCCCCCTCCTCCTCCTCCTCCTCCTCCTCCTCCTCCTCCCTCCTCTCCTCTCCTCCCTCCCTCCTCCTCCTTCTCCTTTCTCCCCCTCCTTCTCCCCCCTCCTCCTCTCCTCCTCCTCCTCCTCCTCCTCCTCCCCCTCCTCCTCCTCGAGGCAGATCGAATCGAAACGGCATCGCGGGCCCAGCCCGCGAATCGAACCGCGTCGCATTGCATCGAAGGCGGCCCTGCACCAGTCGGCAGGATAGAGGCCTCTTAGGTGGGGTGGGAGTAGATGGGGTCGGAGGATCGCGCAGCATCGCCGATACATCGGCGATGCATCGGAGCTGCATCGGCGATGCACCGGCGATGCACTGGCGATACATCGTCGACGTCGGCGATGCATCGGCGACGTCGACATGAAGCAAATCGGGCTTCACATCGAGCCGCATCGCCGATGCATCGGCGATGCGGCGCGCTCCTCCGACCCCATCTACTCCGGCCCCATCTAGGAGGCCTAGATAGGATGGCCTGGTCAGGGTCTGACTGTGACCCGAGTCGCAGAAGCTCGACTGCTAATCTTAGGTCGGGCATGTCCTCCTACAGGCGGAGCTTGGTAGAAAAAAAATCAAAAATGGCAAAGCATAGTCAAAACATCGTCCCCAGACTACGTTTTGACTATGTTTGAATATTCCTCCTGTAGAGGGACAGGCCCGACTTCATGCTCTTAGGGCGGGCGGGGGTGGCAGAACCGATCGAAGACTGGGCCAGGCCCCTTTGTTCCATCTTCCTGTTCCGGTCGGCCACAGCTTTTGTGAAGCTAGCCAACAGCCAAAAAGCCCCGGCTGCACCCCTCGCCATCGCTCGGACGTCCACTCCCTGTGCTTTTTTCGGTTCCGTGCGTGGCTTTTTCGCCACATGACCAAGGATGCTCCTCGATGGTCCTCGCCGAAGGAAAAATGCACACGTCCGAGCGATGCCAAGACCCCCTATTTTGGACGCCCGAAATGGGTACCGAAAAAATGGGTACTATGCCCAACAGCAAATGTTGTCCCAAACCAACAGCGGCCGCTGGTGGGCGGGCGGGGCGGCCTTCTGTCTCGAATGGACACAGGCCGCGGCGGCGTGGACAGCGGATCTGGTTCAAAATGAACAGGATCCGCTGTTGGGCATAGTACCCATTCTTTCAGTACCCATTTCGGGCGTCCAGACCTCTGAGCTGTACTCCGCTGCGCGACCAGCGCTCGCCCGTGGCGCGGGGAGACTGGCGCCCTGCGGCCGCGCGTCGCCGGCCTCGCCACTCCGCGCGGAGGAGCAGCGGCGGCGTGCCCCCGGGGCAGGCCCACTGGCAGCAGAGCACTGGCGCAGCTGGGCTCGCGGGTGCCATGACTCCCT